TGTATGTATTTATTTATTTATTTATTTATTTATTTATTTATTTGTTTGATTTGGTTTATATCCCACCCATCTGGTATATTTATACCACTCTGAGCGGTATGTCCTTGGTTTGTTTGTTCAATCACCCCTCCCTCCCTCCATCTATTCATCCAATCAGCATATTTATGTATCACCTTTCTCCCCACCAGGGCTCCAAAAAGTGATTCATAATAGATCAAAATTGTTCATAGCAGATGCAAAAGATTCTGTGCAAGTCCATTTTTTAAAACCCCCCAAACCAGCCTTTTAGATCAATGCATTCCTAGCTGCTCATTGGAAACTGAGCTGGTTTTGCTTCCACGGGAGAGGGGAAGATCCATGACTAAGGTGCTGGGACAGAGGAATCTGGGTCTGGTGTTCCTCGCCATCTCTGCCCCTGGGCTAGTGAGATTTAAAGCAAGGCCTCCAGTAAGGACCTCTGAGGCTAGCTGGGCACATAAGGGGAGAAGGCAGTCTTTCAGCCATCGTGGCCAAGCCACATACCATCAAAATATCTACGGCATAATTCAGGAAAACTCTCCCCTAACTGAAAGGTACACTAGTACCTCTGTATCTGCAGGAAACTGGTTTCAAGTCTCCCCCTATGGATGCTGAAACCAACAGACCATAGCAATCTCTACACATAGGATGGTTAAAAAAAAACCTGGGAAAAAAGTATTTTTACCATGTATTACCAGAACCGGCCACTAGAGTGGGCCAGAGACCATGCTATGTATTCTTCAACAACAAGAACACATAGCATGGTCTCTGGCCCAATCTAGTGGCCAGTTCTAGTAACTACATAGTGGAAATGCAGATTTCGAGGTTTTTTGTTCTAATATTTTTAATATTTTCAGACTGTGGATAAATAAAACTGGGGATGCTGTTTCCATGGATATACGGGTCCTATTGTAATCTGATGCCACTCCTAAAACAGAAGGATATCCCATTTATACTATACACAGTGTTCCATGCAATAAATGTACAAACCACAATTGAACTCCTTTCTACCAAGTAGTAATGGATTACCACTACCCAGGCACAGGATGGCTCAATCAGAACCAATTGTTCAAACTAGTTATGATTCCCTTACTTCAATACATGTGGGCACAAATCAGGACAAAGTGGCTATCTAATCTGCAAAGTGGCCTGTGTAAGTGTGATCTTACACCCCAGGGTTTGATGGCTACTTACCTGATTGCCCTGGTGGAGGGATCCCTCCCAGCCCTCTTGGCAGCCTCACGAACACCGACAGAACAGCCGCCTTGTTGCCAAAACAGGGCTCCAATGCTATGGGTTTGGGGACCGTCTGCAAGAGAAAGAAGAGAATGGATGAAGAGAGCTTAAGTTCCAACGTGGTTATGCCTGTATTTTTTGCAGCAGGAAAGCATCTCTGCCTTAAGAGACACATCAACTGCAATCCAATACGTTACCAGGCAAACACACAGAATAGAAGACACGTCTATTTATTTCAAGCCAAGAAACCACTGACAAGGTTTTAGGGAGTATTTCACCAATTATCTGTGATCAGCTTATTTTTAGGAGATCCCTACATTATTTTGTGCCAGTTGGTGCAGATAGGAATAAATTCAGTCATGGCCTTTTGAAATTGGAGGAAGAGAAGATGCGAGGTTCATGGAAACCTCTGCACAACTGTGGGTGGCTGCAGTAACACGGATTGGCACCATGTGAATAGCGCCTTCTCTTTCAAAAAGATGTCAGCCACTCCAGTTGAGTGGCCTTTGGGCTGAGCCTCTCTCTCTCTCTCTCTCTCTCTCTCTCTCTCTCTGTGTGTGTGTGTTGTGTCTTTCCAAACTGTGGCTATCTCTGAGAGCTCAGAAGGGTGTACTGCTGGTTTCAACATCTGCAGATTCTCATGTTATGAGATACTGTGAATTTTCTTTGTTATAACTACCCCATTTTCTTCTGTTCTATAATATCATTTTCAAAGATAATGATGTGCCCAGAATTGCACACATTATCCAACTTATGGACACACTGCATCTTTTTCATAGTAGTAGTAGTAATAGTAGTAATAATAATAATAATGTGTCGTGCAAATTCTGACTTATCGCAACCTCTTTTCAGGGGTTTCTAGGTAGAAAGTACTCAGAAGTGGTTTACCATCTTCTTCTTCTGGGGCGACTCTGGGACTGTGCCGCTTGCCCAAGGCCACGCAGGCTGGCTCTATTCGCAGAAGGCATCGTGGGGAATCAAACACCCAACCTCCGGTTCTGGAGCCAGAGACCTAACCCACTGAGCTATCCCACCAGCTCTCTTTGGCCTCCTTTTTGTTGTTGTTTAGTCGTTAAGTGGTGTCCGACTCTTCTTCACCCCATGGAACAGAGCACGCCAGGCCCTCCCAGAGTTTCATCAAATTCATGTTGGTCGCTTCGATGACACTGTCCAACCATCTCGTCCTCTGTCGTCCCCTTCTCCTCTTGCCTTCACACTTTCCTAACATCAGGGGCTTTTCCAGGGAGTCTTCTCTTCTCATGAGATGGCCAAAGGATTGGAGCCTCAGCTTCAGGATCTGTCCTTCCTGTGAGCACTCGGGGTTGATTTCCTTTAGAATTGATAGGTTTGTTCTCCTTGCACTCCAGGGGACTCTCAAGAGCCTCCTCCAGCACCACAATTCAAAGGCATTAATTCTTTAGCGGTCAGCTTTCTTTATGGTCCAGCTCTCACTTCCATATATCGCTACTGGAAAAATCATAGCTTTGACTATGTGGACTTTTGTTGGCAAGGCGATTTTTAAGATTCTGTCAAGGGTTGTCATCGCTTTCCTCCCAAGAAGCAGGTGTCTTTTAATTTCAGGGCTGCTGTCACCCTCTGCAGACTATGCGGACCTTTGTCGGCAAGGTGATGTCTGTGCTTTTTACATAAAAGTATTATTGCAACAGTTGTGAACTGGATGGCAAATTCTGCCCCTTCAGCTCTATATCTTGTTATTTCTCAATAGGGAGGGAGACATCTCTACCTGAGAAAGTCACGAATATCCTTAACCATTGCTTTCACCTTCCAAACAAAGCATGTTTATCCTAATCTTTAAGTGCTTTGTACTAGAGGGTGCGCTTTGAATTCGCAGGGACCAGCTCCTTCTCTTTCAAAAGGATGTCAGCTAGCAGACTTACAAAAGGCCCCTGCACGTGAACCCCGGAGAACTGTTGCCTTTGAAGAGAGATCCGCACAGCTGGAGAGATATGGATGGACGCTGCCGCCGGAATCCCAGGATAGAGGGCTTGGAGGCTTGGCATTTGAAAGAAAATCAGAATCTGAAATTCTTGTTCCATCGCTCCTGGTCTCTTCCACGGTGTTATTCTGGTTTCTCTGCCCACATTTCTAACACAGCCCTAATTTTATCAAATGGGGCTCTTGTAAAGAGCCCATGGGTTGAAAATAAAGTACCAAGCATCCTCAACTATATTTCATTTTGATAGAAAAGCAGTTCATTTTAATGGGCCATGTAATTAAACTGAAAAGGTAATAGGGTACTGTAGCCCAACATCTATTATAGTAGCAACATGCTTTCAATGGAAAGCAGCCAAGAACCACTTTTTGGCCAGAACTTGAGAATTCCGTGCAAATCAATGATGAGAGTTCGAATCCCGCACGGCGCTTCCTTGACAAAGACTGGATTTCCTGATCCATAGGGTGCCTTCCAGCTCTGCAGTTCTAAGACGATGATGATGAGTGCTAAACCCACACAGAAGCCATTTCAACAACAAAAAACAAAAAACCTGTTCCACGGCTGGTAGTTTTCTTTTCAAATTAAAATTTAGCATCAAAATCCTTTTATGTGGCCCCAAATGAAGCCTTGGTTGCTTTCTTCATTAGACATTATGTTGGAATACTCACTCTGCAGCCTAGCTCAGATGGAAAAAAAAAAAATCAAATTAAAGATGTTAGAAGCTGGCCAGGTATTGCAGAGCCTGACATTAAAAGCAGCCAATTCCCCACTAAGCCGTCTAGCAGAACAGCCAGCCTGTGTAGCCTTGGGGAAGAAATGCTGTCCAAAAGTGCCACCAGAAGAAAGGAGTGGTAAACTATTTCTTGTAAGTTCCTTGTACCAAGGAAAACCTGGAAAGAGTCACCAGAAGCATGGAACTGACCTGACAGCACATAATAACCATTACAAAGATGTTAGGCAGAAAGAGAAAGAAACTAAGTTACCCCAAAGTTAACTCACACCAAACAAAGCAGTGACAGAGAACAAAAAACGGAATTAATACTTTTACACGTCTCTTCTCTAAAAGGGATAACAAAGACAGTGATGGATTAGTCACTGCAACCTATTTTATTGCCTGCAACAGAAAGGAAGGTTGGTATTTACAACAGCTTCTGTCCTGGCGCTTCTACTCCCCATAGAGGCGCTGAAGTTCAAAATAATTCTTTCCTTACAAAAGCAGTGGAGGACCAATGGGCGTCATATATTCTGCTGGAACTCAATTACTAGAAATAATGGACACACCATCGCCAGCACCTCCCAGCCATAGATCGCTCACGGTGGCTTCCAGCTTGCTTTGCTGACAGAATGATGCTCTAGAGCAGACAATGCATTCTTTAAATAAATAAATAAAGGGGGGGGACTAACAGATTAGAGGGCATAAGGAAAAGGGGTGTTTTTGCAAGAGGTGGCGTCTAAAGAGCCGGCCATTAGCTGCTGCTGGGTCTCTCTCTCTCTCTCTCTCTCTCACACACACACACACATACATTGCCATGTGTTTTCAAGAAAGAGTCCCCGGCTGTGATGCTAAAGTGTTAAGAGAACAACATCAAGAGAGCCGGCCAAAAGAGAAAGCAACATTTTCAAGCCACAGCTTAGGGCATATCTGGGCACAGAACCTTCCTATCAGATTTCAATAAGGTATTTATTAAAACAAATGATGCCAGACAATGAAAGCTTTTGGAGGGGAGGGTAGGAACTCAGCCCCTTGAAAATGCATCACAATGGTTACTTTAGCTGTAAATCTTGCTGCTTCCCTTTCCATCTCAAGCAAAGTATGAATCCATTTAACTTTAGGCCGAAGGACAGGTCTCCGAGGCATGGGCTGAAGGGTGGGATCACTCCCGCAACATGTCGCAATGGAGGCCAATTTAAATGGCTTTCAAGGGAATTGCAGAATCAGACCAATTCATGGATGAGAAATCTGACGCAACCACGCAGCATAAAATGGAAACTCACAAGCAGTGGACACAATGTGCCAGCTGCCCATCACATGCCTCTATACAGTATGCACTCGTGGCACAAACGATCGATCACTCAATGGCAAGCCTGGGCGTCTGAGAGGCAGCTGTCAAAATGCAAAAACCACTTGCAAAACAGCCTTTATCCGTGTGGTTATTTCACAACAGGATTTTAGCCACTAAATCTCGGGCACTGGTTCCCAACCTTGGGTAACCCGGGTGTTCTTGGACTACAACTCCCAGAAATCCTGGCCAGCGCAGGTGAAGTGGTGAAGAATTCTGGGAGTTTTTAGTCTGAGAGCAACCGGGGACCCCAAGGTTGGGAGCCAGTGGCCGGAGGCCATCCATAGCTACCGCTTAGAATCAGAGATGGGATGCGTCTGTGTACACCAGCTGCCAGGAAGCATGAGACGGACGGTGGTGCTAGTGGGCCCCTGAAGGAACAGAACGCTGGACGAGAGAGACCTTGTAGCCTGATGCAGCCGGGTTCTTCTACTATCCTCTCTGGCCAATCGGGGCAAGAAGGTCCTGCCTCCATCTCACACCGATCTTTTCAAGCTGTCCTCTGCTACCCCTCAACCCCAGCACAGAATCCCAAGCTTCTCCCTTCCTCCTCTGACCAATGAGAAGCCTTCTGAGCTCGCTCAAGGCGACAACCACAGAACTGGATAGGTGTTGTGGTGTTGCGTTCTCTCTCGCACCCCCCTTCCTCAAAGCTCCTGCCAGGACTGCCTTCCCTTGAGGTCCGACACCTCTCCTTCTCCGCGGTGCGATTTCACAGTTCACCATACCGGCCGAGAGACTTAAAACCTCCCGTTTCGCTCCACTGCTCCTATTCACAGAAAATTACCCACGCGATAAGGCCGAGGCTTTAATAAACACATCCTTCGTACGAACAGAAACAAAGGATAAAAATAAGCTTGCCTATATTTGCTTTAAGAGCAATAATCAGCCCTACCGAAGTCTAAGGATGAATCACTAGATTTTTAAGGTACTTGATTTTTTAATTGCACTTCTAAATCAAGCAACGGTGAAAGCAGAGTCCAACTCCACTTAGAAACCTCACAAGATTTTAGGATTGAGATTGAGAACAAAACAAACAAACAAACAAAAAAACCCTAC